GGGTGAGTCATTAAAATACATGACCATGACAATCTTCCAAATGTGACCCAGAGGCCTTCCATAGTTTGGGTGGCTTAGAATTATCAAAATACATTTTGTTGTGAATATTGCAATATAGATCCAAATTCGGAATTTGCTGGTGTAGATTCCCTTTCACAGATGTGATACAAGGACCAAAATGTGACTTCTACACATTCATTGAGAATAGACAAGATAGCTTAATTACAGTTGGAAATCATAACCACTGTGTTTGAGATAAAGTAATGAAAAAACGTTTTAAAACACAATATTTACAATGCGTTATATTTAACGATTATATTTAACACTTTATGTCCAGAGGTGGACTGGACACCCCCCCCGCGACCGGGAATAAGCAGTATAGAAAATGGACAGATGGATAGACCCTATGTCCAGTTATTTTTGTTAACACAAGAAGTTGTATGCTGAACAAATGAACAACAGATGACTGTGGTCTGAATCCACAACATACTGTGTAATTTGGAACCACCGTGTAAGAGGTGAGTCTAGAGCCAAGATTGGACATCATCAATTACGTGGACATTTGACCTACCGGTACAAAGTGTTTGTTTAATCTCCAACTGGAATTTTTGTTCTTTGTTTCGTTCATCATATCTGAAACTGATTACAGTTCAGTGTTGTGTAAATTACCGGATGTTTTTGATGAGGCAATGCTTAGTGTACTAGCTTGTTTCAGAATGGGGAATACTCTACACCTCATTTCTCTACCCACACAGCCACTGATATGAGGATCATTATGCATCAAATGGCTGTAAATGGCCCTGAGATTGCTGGTCTTATCTAGATCAGCAGCTACCATCCGGCTCTGTGTAATCTGAGTGTGTGTGTGTGTGTGTGTGTGTTTTAATGTTGTTTGTGTGAAATCCTTTATGTGTGTGCACTTGTTTGTGGATTTAATATATTTATTTGCTTAGAATTTATTCCTTATATGCCCATTTCCACTATGCATCACTTTTTTTATTTGTCTGTATAACTTAAGTACTTCTTTATTCGTGCATGTTTAAGCAAACAATAGTTTTCTAGTCTGCTTATGTGCGTGCTGTTCTGCATAACCTCCCCTCTCCATTTTCCTACATTTGCTCAGATGGTACAGATAGAAAGCTGAGATAACGCACACTATCACATCAAACAAGCTGAGGAGTGGTCTTAGGGGAAGAAATCCATCCCTCCTTCAACTCCTCTCTCTCATTCTTCCATCCATCCGCATGTTAAACCAATTAACAGTAATTACTGGGCCACCCCAGGCGCAGTTTCTTTCTGCTGGCTCCGCTTTTTTGTTCTCATCACCACACCGATACAAAGGGAGGCTCCAAAATGTGTTGGGAAGCAGGTCATTACTGTTTATTAACGAAGGGAGTTTGATTTCCCCAGATGGTCCCAGTTGAGGCCAAGTAAAGTTTGACTATCTGGTCATAGAGCTGACTTTCCAAATCTGTCTACTCTGGTCTTGCTGTGGTAGGACTGGTACTTAAGGCATTCGGTAGACTGGTACTCCCCTTTTGACTAGACATTTGGCTAAGGACATATTTGTGATCCTACTAACTCATTGCTGTATATCTGTGGTAGAATGACCAGCAGAGGCGGATTAGCACCATGTCAGTGTTTGCTTATGGCGCTTTTCCCATAGTACCTTGTTTCACTTGTACCTACAGATGATATTTTTGCATTTCCACTATGGGCTGGCACCACTAAACAGTAACACTTTTAGAAACTATTTGGTCGTGGGTTTCATTAAGGCTGTGTAGGGCTGATGGCAGACCGCCGGGCACTGGCCATGGACCATGGAGTCACTTGATTAGATAGCGACTCCGCGCCAATGTGACCCAACTAACCAACATCATGGTCCAACAGCGAGGTTTCGTCGCTTTGTAGTTACTTAATTTTAGTCTAGTGCTGGTTGGTTTTTTGATCTGCTCAGCCATAATTTGTAAGGGAAACCCTCCGTAACCATGTAGAACCATGCCAGACCAAACCATGTTGGGCTGAGTATGTACTAATGGAAAAGTGCCATAAGGTAGTACAAGCTAGTATGTAGTGTCAGCTTCACTTTCCTTCTTGCAAAATAGTGGAAAAAACAGCTCCTTATCAGTTTATTGAGTGTGAAATGATGAAAATAATACTTTATGATCTTATAAGATTCTCATAAAGGGTGCCTTCCTTAAGAGGTGCAACATACAGTCTGCATGTAGTTGTTCAAAGACATTTGAAAACCTTACTTTGTCTTCTTTGTTACATTACTCAATGTGGCTAAATTGGATTGAATTAAACCATTAAAAGGTCGTGATGTAAAGAATGTTTTAATCCAATTGATTGGATTGTTGTGGTTACAGTGCTGTGTTCTGTGATGCCATATTGCCCCAACATTTTTTGTTTTTGTTTTTGCTTTGCCTGCTCGGAAGTGTCAAAGCAATGGGTCATCATTGACCCAGGATGCCTCCTCCATCCTTGGCAAATTTAGTTGGCAAAAATGAGCATCCAAAGTGCATCACTCCAGGCTTAAACATCTGATCCGAAAAGGCTTAAAAAACTGCTAAATGCAAGCTTGGCAGTCATTTTTACAGATTGAGTTGATCAGTCAGATTGATTGAGTTAAACTCTGGAATTTGTGTTTTATACTGGTACAGAAATGCATGGGAGTTAGTATCTTCCTCTGAAATGTTTAAGTCATCCTTGAAATCCCTTTCAGTACTTAACCTCTCCATTCCTCAGGTTTCATAGTGTTTACATTGCTCTGGTTAAAGCAGGATTGTTGTGGTGTTGTGTGTTTACCACTACGCTCCATTCGCTTTCGCCTTTCCATTCATGACTACACATCTGATATCTCCAAAGGGGTTTTCAGAAAACCATTTGAAAAATATGCTGCCTAATTTGATGAATAAATACGATCAGAATTTCCAGATATCATGAATAAAGGAATGTGCGAAAGCCGTAGCCGTACATCAGGTCACACTTTCTTCCTTTGATCACACAACCCTTGATGAAGAAGTTTTATGTCTTTGAATACAACAGCAGTTTATACATAAGTGACAAACACTCACATGTCTACAAATAAACACACAGAGAAGCCTCCCATACCCAATTTGGACTGTAATGTCATCATGCGAGAAATCTCCCTGTGCAATGACTGTTGGAAACCCCCTTAATCAATAATTTAAGATCAAGTTAGTCTTGATTTCAGTGGATGACTCCCCTCCTCCTCCTGGAACAATGTACTTTCCGATATGTTTTTCCTAAACATACCAGTGTCTATGTATGTGTGTCTGTGTGTGTAGACACCAGATGATTATTTCTGTCCTGTCTGTCTATTTGAAAAAAGGAAGTCACTCACACATAAACATACTCACCTGTTTGACCTTCTGTCTTCATATTATGTTGTGTGGGTGTGAGTGTGTGCAGTGAAGCGTGTAGATCTTGGCATGTCTGGATAGTGTCACCCCGCCCCTCCCTCCCCTCCCCCCCCCCCCCCCCCCCACCTCCCAGAAAATCCATCTGTCGACTGGGTGATAGGACGTTCCTGACTTCCTTCTTTTTTATCTCTCTTTCTTTCTCTGTCTCCTTTTTTCTCACTCACACATGCACACCGGTACACAAACGCACCTTGTCTAGCTTAGGTGGAGGTTTAGCTTGCAGTTCCCAGCTGCAAGTGGCTCAGAGGATGTGGGGCTGGAGGGGGAGCACTGACCTGCAAAAAACGTCAGCTGCACAGTGCTTACTCTCGTCTCTGACTAATTCAATAAAGACCATTCAGACAGACTAGCCAACATCTGTGTGTGCTCAGGCGTCACCTCTTGGAGTCATTCGGTCAATGATTTACGCTCAGTTAGTGTTAAACTTAAGTTTTTGGCTTGAACAAGCAGCCATTTAACGCCTCTCAGCAGAGACATTCCTTTTAAGGGCTTACTGTGGACAAGGCCAAAAGAAAATCTTTTTTTCTGTTTTGATCAGTTAGTGTGTTCCACTGGGACCTCAGTTGAAGGCCACTTACATCTATCTGTCAGTCTTTTGTCTGACAGATTTCTAAATGATTTCTAAATTCCAAATGAGCAAAAGAGAGTCAATGCCACACTGTACTGTTATTCCTCAATATCCTCACAGTTAGCCTATTCAAATATAATTAACTTTAAATTGTTCCAGCACACATACAGATATTTAACTCACATCTACTGTAAGTGCACAGTATATACAGTATTGTTTGATGAATTATTTCATTAATTATTTTATTCATGTGCAAATAAAAGCTACAAGTGACCCTGAAAGCTGATAAAAAAAGATTTACATTTAAATTCAAATGATCTAAAAGGAACTTTAGAAGTCAGAAAACCATTAAGCTTAAATATCTGTGAGTTCCACCGATAATGCATTTTAAATAAGGCGCACAATACTCCCCATTCTCCTGCCTCCCATTTTTCCTCTGTCATTGTCATGACAGAAAAGATGGCAGAAGGGGAAAGATCTTTGTGTAAAGATACTGGGAATTGTCAGGAACGGGATGCAGGGTAGAAAAATGGAAGAGTGTCCGTGCGTGTCTGTGTGTTTGTGTGTGGGAGGTGAAAGGGTACTGGAGGAGGTATCGAGTTTCCTCCCCAGCCTTTTCAGCCCTTATGCTGTTCCCTGGTTTTATCAGTCCTCGGCACCTCCAAATAAAATTTGTCTTGGGATGGGGTGAACGGCAGGGGGTGGATGGGTGGTGCATGTGGAGGGGAGGCCAGATCGTTCTGCTTCATCAGAGCAGAAGCAGGCTATGAAGAGCTGAGTTGGTGGGCTAGTTTTGATGACAGCAAGCCAGATGCAATCAGGGACTGGGCCGGGGCTTGAAGAAGTGCTTGTAAAGATGTGTTTGTGTGTGTCAGGGGCAGGTGAAAGTAGAAGCCTATCATATAGAGATAAAAACAGTGTAACATCAGTTGGAACCTTGGGGAGACCAAGCGCACATATCCTGTTTTCTTTTGGTCTCCTCACAGAGAATTGATTTTGTAGCTTTCTACTGTAAGTTGGCACATCAAGAGAACCACTTGCGCAATAGCTTCCTGACTGGGAACTACTTTTTCGCTATACAGGACAAGAATTGTAAATGAAAGGCAAAATATCTTCTAGAAAAATCTTGAGTGAGTCCTCTCAGTTCTCAACTGTCAAAGTTTCTAAATATAAGGCCCCAGAAACTAAGGGGAATATGAAAAATATTGTAGAAAGTCTTTTGTTCTGGTGTTTAACTCTAGTCATGCCCAGAGTTAATGATGATCTTAATGCCTTAGGGTAGGCATTAGGGTGTAATTAAATATGTAAAAAAAAAGCATAACCCATCAAATCAATTTAGTTGAACGTTCAGGATTGGGTTGATCAAGAAAATTGAAATAGAATAACAGGAGGAATCAAAGTTCTTTGATATTCTTCATGGTAAGTTAAATGCAGACATACAGTGATTTTCCAAGTCTAGTAAACCAGTCAACCTGCTTTCATACAAGCCACATTTTCTATCCGCACAGGGACACTTTTACAGCATAGTTTTTATAATTTTACAGCTGATGTATTGCTTTTGCATAATAGATGCTTTCACAGTTATGAATTGAAAGACCGCAACTTGGTCTTCAGAGTCTTGCACAAGGACACTTATTGTGTATGACTAGAATAGAATAGAATAGCATAGAGTAGAATAGAATATGTTAACAAAGTGCTGAGGAAGAAATCATTTTATTCATAGTAACATTTTGTCAGGTAAAAAAAGTGTAATTCTTGACATGTTAAAGAAAATGAAAGAGGACTAAAAGGAGGAATAGGAATAAAAGCTGTTCCCAGAGTAAAAACACCTTGGATATGAGATATGGTGTGTTGATATTTTCTTAAGTGGGCATTGGGGATGGCTTTTGAAACCAAGCTTAACGTAGGATTTTATTTGGCTTGGAATAAAAGCCCTCCCTTGAGTTCTTCTCCTTCCATAGGCTGCTTAACCCTCCATGACACACATTTGAATACACACACCAAATACTAAGTGGGTTATGATTAATTTCTTTGTCATTGTCTGCCCATAAAACAACGACGTTTGGAGCAAATGGGGTTTTTCCTCCACTCATTTTTGGCCCTCCACTAAATCATTCAATGTTATTAAGCGCCGCATGTGTGTGTTCAAAATGTGACACTCAAATATGTAGACACTAACGCGCGCACACACACACACACCTACACACACAAATGTACTTTAGCATAGTATAATTTCAACTGGAACTCATGCTAGTTTTTGAATGGTCCTGTAAATAACTGGCACAAATAACCCAATAGAAATCTCGAAGTTGGACTGTTCATCAATAAGTGTAGATAAGTCCAATTAAGTCTAAAAAGAAGAATGGTCATTTAATAGATCAGCGTAAGTGCTTGTGTGTGTGTGAGAGATAGAAAGCGAGGCGAAAAGAGACATAATCAATTACTTTATCATCCAGCCAGGCGAGGCCTCATAGTTGAAGCCTGTCTTTCCAATCATTCCAGTAATGCTGGGAATATATGTATAAATGTGTAATTGTATACTGTGTGTTTTTCTGCACCATTATGTGTGTTTTGCTGCATTCTGTTTGCGTTTATACGTCCAAGTGTAATGGAGATTTTGTGTTTGAATACTTGCCACACGTTATAACTCTGTGTACCAACATCTTGAAGCTGCTTTTATTGTCTCTTATCTCAACTGTCAGCTGCTTGCTTGGAAACTGTCAAAGGGCTCATGAATGTCTTCTCAATTAAAAGTAACCTTTTTGTTGAAGGATTCCCGTCCAACAAAAAGCCTCTTGTCTGCTTTTAGACTACGCGCAACAACAGAAATCGGAGACACACAACTTGTATATGTCAGATGCAGGATTCAAACATTGTGGGTATTTTTTTCACAAAGGGGAATTGACCTTTTCACTAAGATATTTTAGTAAACAAATACAAGCAAACAAGACAAAATGCCAAGCAAAACTCAGTGTTCAAGGGGGATTTCTTGATTGCTGTCTTGTCAGTCACAACCTAAAGTTCGAGATCTATGTATATATATGTATAAACAAAGGCCCATATTGCACAAGTTTAAATACTTAGTTTACAGCAAATACCCTATTCTTTATTCTCCTTTCTTTGGTCTGTTTTTTTTCAGCATCTCACTCTCCCATAACACACCAAGTGTTCAATAACCATGTCACAGCCCAACGCCTAAATTTAACTTCCCAGTGATACCGTTCTGTTCAGGGCTTGTCATGCTTGTCGCTTGTCTGACAAAGGGCAGCAGTGAATGGGGCCCAGGTGTGTGAAAGTGCTCCGACCACTCTCCAGTAATTGGTTTTATGGCCAGATACACATACAATTAGAGTTGTGAGTTGAAAGAAGAGGCATAAGGAGACTAAACATACTGCGATTTGTTCATATTTCATCGAAATCTACTCAGGGTCGGGGGATATTGTGTTGAATGTGATCAAATGAGATGAGGAGCGTATCTCGGGTATGAATGTTGAGGAAACTGGATATCTGAGAGCAACAGGGGAAAATGAGGGAGTGAAAATCCTTTGTGTTTTCATGAGCTGAAGACATTTGTGCATTTAGTGTCAAGACAATTGTGTGTCATTGGAAAACACTGGGAAGAATAAGTATAGCAAAGCTTACAGTTCAGAATAACAAGGAAGGTCCAGAAACACACCCACCTCGCCAGGGCCAATTCGTTGTGAGAAAAGGAGGCCACCTTAGGGGTGTAAAACCTCTCTTTAAGCAGCTTGCTGAAAACAGTCACCTGAAAGCCATGAACATGATTGAGAAGTTAGGTGTTATAGCTCAATAACTATGATAATGATTACAATGATGGCTTCAAACTATTCTTGGCAGCTGTTGCCATCTGTTACAAGGATTGCAAGACTGTAGACAATAATGTTCTTTTTAGGTATGAGTGTAAAGTCAATATAATTTGAAGGTTTACAGAAAAGGGTTGTTTGAGTAAAAAACCAACAACTTTATGTTGGAAAAAAATCCATATATCTGTTCTTACAGTATTTCAGTGTTGGAGCAGTAACTTGAAGCTATTGTACAATTTAAACAAGAATGCTAAATGCTAAATGAAAAGACAAATACAAATGTTAAGTTAGATGAAAATAACATCAGTTCAAAACAGAAAACCATCTCGTGGTGTTAAGATTCAGATGTAATTAAAATAAAATTAAGTGATTTAAAACAACCCATTCTTACCTTTTAGAAAAATATTTTTCATATTCATATTATAACATGTACATACTCCTATAAAAGTTAACTCCTCTGGCAAATATTTAAGCCATCAGTTTGGTCTATGAGAGGGATTGACCTTGATAAACACTGACTGAAGTCAGATCCACCAGCTCTGCACCAAAACAGAATGTCACTGTGTGTGATCACTGGGCGCCTTTCTCTTTAGAACATATCAAGAAGCGAATGTCAAAAAGAAAAAAGTGGAAATTTGAATTTATAAATGTTTTTGTCAAGGTCCCCCTCCCTCCACTGACACATGCGCACATTGAGTCAGAGAGAGATAGAAAAAGAGGCAGAGACACAAGCCTCTTCACTATGCAATTATGCAAACTACACGTCAAAGGTAAACGGCGAAGTCTCCCTCAATAAGAAATTGCTGCTGAGATGAGCTAAAATAAATACCTATCAGACCACCCAAGCATCTTATTGCATGCGACGAGATGGTGCTCTGGCCAGCTAAATTGAACCTCGAGTTGCATTCATCAGGGCCCATTGTCATTCTTCCTTCTGCATCTCTCACTAGAAGTAATTGACTGCAATATAATGCCACCCGATCAGTCCACAGTTAGACCCTAGATTAGCTCCCCGGCAGCGTGGTGAGCTGCACAGTGACTGAGATGTTGTTATTCTAAGATATGAAACAGCTATAATGGAGCTGGACAAGGACTGGTGATCAGAGGGGATGGAAAAAGAAGAAAAAGCTGAAGTATTACCACAACTGGTTTATGTGACAGGCACATTCTGCTGAATAAAAAGGTTGAGCCTTTTGGCCCAGTTGGTTATATTTATAAAACAGCAAAGCAATACCTTGGGTGATTAAAATTGCAGCCTGCATGAAAGTTTTTTTTTTTTTATAGCTGATGTCTCTGGATTTTCACTGAAAACCAGAAAGTTGGAAACTTTTTTTTTTTGTCTAAGCTCTGTGCAATGTCAGAGTAATACTGTCTGTGGCAAGAGTATTTTTCCTTAAAAATGCTTCACAATCTGTGTTTTATATTTGAGTTCTGATTTGGCTCTTGGTTTGGAATGGTATAGTTATTACCACTTTGAATTGTAAAAAAAAGTATTTTGTGTTGACCAAGTTGTTGATGAGCATTTCCCTATCAATCATTCCTTCAATCAAAGATGCTACGTTTATTTTCAGAGAAGTAAAAGGCACAGTCTAATTCCTTTATTTGATTAATTTTTTCAGAGAAAATCTAAATAGAATAAGAATTTGTTTCTGGGACACCAGTTTTTAGAGCTACTCAGAAAAATACCATGAGAAAAGGGAATTTTTTGCCATCTTAGATAGGTCAAACCTCTTTTCATGGTAGGGACCATATTTTAAAGGATGTTTCGATATTGTGAATATGGCAAAGTAAATCTCTTTCAAATTTAGAGGTAAAATGTATACTCTTATGTTTTTGGCTCACTAAATCGGATGCTTTTCTAATACTCTATAATGAAAACTATTTTTGCTACAGATGAAACTAAGAGTATCACAAAAACAAACAAACAAACCAAAACAACCAAAAAATATTTCAATAATGATTGGTTAAAGGTGTGCTTTATCTTTTGAAAGGGGTTGTTACTTTCAATATTTTTTTGGGTTTCATCCTCTCCTTATTATTCGCGGATCGGTTTAAGTGAGTGTGTTGGTATGGATGCTTGTCTTTATGTCTGTGATGGACAGGAAACCTGTTCAGGTTGTACTCTGCCTCCCACCCAATGACAGCAGGGATAGCCTCCAGCCCCATCCTGCCTTTGACGTACATGTTGCTGTGAAGCCCAAAAGGAAAAGAGAAGTAAATTGCAAATGTTTTAAGTCTTAATCTAACATGTAGATATATCTATTTTCC